TACGCTTGAAGTTGCACGAAGAAATATCCCGATTGTGGACACTTGACGTGCGACTTCTGGTATTGCGAACCAGTACAGAAAATACGTAGTAAATATTAACCGCAGATCAACTGTACTTGTAAAATAGTAAACAGCGTGCTCATAAATACATCAAAATATATGTACGTACATATCTATGTTACAAATGTTTGAATAAAACAATCTAAAACGTAACTTATTCGTTGAGATTTTATATTTCCTAATATTCTTAAGTTAACAATTGAGGATGTATCAGCCGTATAGTCCTTGCAAAAAGTTTAAAGTTGGAAATTTATTAATATATATATTTTTCATTTAAAAAGAATATAAACACGAAACAGTTATATTAATATCTTATATTTATTTAACAAAATATATTTTTATAGTTTATTTATTGCATTTTTATTTTTATTATAATATTTTAACTTAAAAAAATTCAATTTTATATAATAATAAAAAATAATAATGGCTGATATGTGTCCTGAAATCGCGCGAAAATGATTCCAAAGAAAGCCTGTCAAATTCTCTTTTATTTTTTTTACATAAAAGTAACATTACAGGGATAACTCGGCAGCCGTCTCATCGTGATTTTACGGCGATTGTTTTCGATAATCCTTCCTGTCTATAATTGGCTGTGCGTCAAATCGATGGCACAGAGTCAATTTGCGATTTCAACGGACACGTGCGAGCCTTTTCCGTCCTTTCGAGGGACAGTCAACATATTGTTTGCGAGCAAGAGAGCAGTTTGAGGGGTGCGATCCATCCCTGAATCAATTAAATAGATATTAGCCGTGTCACTTGACTCAGCTAAGAGAGCGAGAGACCGACCCTTACAACGAGCGCGTATAAACATCGCGCATTTCCGCGTGTCAAATCAGATCTCATGTTTATGCTCCCCCGAAGTGACTTCGACGAGGGGAGGGAGGGGTTGCATAAAGTTATTAGTTATTCCCTGATGCATCCCCTCGCTTCGCGACATTTCCGCGTCCCAGAAACACTCTAATTACGTCGCGCGAGTGGCGTATGATTTATCCCTCCGCCACATTTTTTCACCCCCGAAACCTCCTATATTCTCGCCCCGCAATAGCGCGACGCCGACAAATCGTTTTCCACAATTTTCATTTAGAGATAGATTTAATTACACTTAAATATATAGTCAAGATTTATCTTTATGTAAAATTAGTTTGTTTATGCAATAAAAATAATGGATCATATTAAGAATATTTTAGTAATAATTAGAAATATATTAAGAAATCTACATATTTCAAAATACATAAATGTCGATTAGATGCTTAATGACATTCGTTGTATATTGACTCTCTAAAACTTTTGGAATAAATCTCTATAAAATAATCTCTCACTTTTAAAGTTTACAAATTCTGCCACTATTTTTCAAGAGTGGCAGAATTTTCATTCTTTAAAGTGAGATTCCACTTCAAAGAATTTAGAAAATATATGGAGTTTAACATCATTTTAATCGATTTCTTCTAAAAACCTGAGAAAATTAATCTGTTATATTTTTTACTATATATCTACATTTCTATATTTTAAAGTTACTTATATTTATTATTTATATATCTGTATCTTAAAATTAAAAAAATGTTGACTCAACATTTCATAACAGAACCGATTTTGTAATTACAGGCCTGTTCTTCCTTATATCGCGACAAAATCGTATAACAAATTACGATAAGTTTGAAGCGCGAGAAGATGTCCTGCATGAGCGTAATATCACTCAAAATATTTGATAAACGGTATGGATTGTAGGCGCAAGTAGAGAACGACGTGGATGTTTAATACAACCCTCTGCTGTAATATGAACTATATACATAACTGCAAGCTGACGCCCCGGATCGATGTTTCAAGCGTCGGCGCCGGTAAGCTCCAGCTCTTTCCGCCGTCATTTTCTGGAGCAACCGATACGATACGTATGAAATCAAATGTGAAATTAAATTTTATTTGAACATTCTGCGAAAGAGAAATAGACCAACTTTGGAAAGAATTCGCAAGAATTCATAAAAAAATTAATTTTTGAGAATTATAATCCTCAAAACTTATAGATTAGAAGTGGACATCAAACACCCTATTATTAAAATCTGTACATTATTTTTTTAAATTAAAATTAATAAATTCTCATTATTTTTTGTTCTCTCTCACATTTTCATTATAATTTTTAAAAAGCGCCTTAAATATTTATTATAAAATCGTTTCGGAATTGAGGTTTAATGGAGAACTGCTATTTATATTTATCATTGCTTTCCAGTTCTAATTATCTCCTACAGCACAAAGTTGCACAAAAGTTGCAGTAACATTGCTGCAACATTGCATGTTACAGCAATATTGCAGAGATTTTGCAATGATATTGTTGTAAATTCTGTGCTGTATGGGATATTATATGTCGCTTATTAAAATTTTATTATTACATCGTTTGTGTTATATATCTTTAGATATTACTCGTTTCTCTGAAATTTGCTTCGCAAAAAATAAATTATTAATTTCATTCTTACTCATTATGCAACCTATCTTTAGCTTATTAATTTCAACCATTATATTTATAATAGATCACAATATTTAATTATACCTCATGTGAATATAAAAAAAATTAAAAATAATATATATATACCAAAATTAATATTGCAATGTATCTTATTTGAGGAGCAATCAGTACTAAATTTTTTCGAAATTCCATACGTATGTAACATTAAATTAATTTGTTTAACAATATTTAGTATTTATTTAATGGCACTAAATATTAATTTTCGCAATACCATGCATTACACCATATAATACCATATATTACAAAAATGAGGCGATTCCAGCCGAATTCACTGGAATAAACGGAGCAAGCCACGTAAATGCCGTCCTCCGGATTTTGCACGTGTTCATCCGATCCGATTTTGATGCGCCGCTAACAATGGCAATGCACCGACCCCGTTGCATCGTTGCCCACAACGGGGTCACGCCTCTGAGCGAAATTACAGGATTTCGTCACGGACCTTTCCAGACTTTCCTGATGCTTATTATGCGGATTCGTCGCGGAAATCCCTCGAGCAGTTGTGACGAGAGAGTGATCTAATGCGAGAAACCAACGTAGAAAACAGAAATCAATTGATATCTCGTAAGGGACGTAAGGTATATTATTAATTAATATTTAACAATAGATGTACGTCATAAAACATACATTTAGGTAAATTAATATTTGCCTTGTAAATTAATAAGTGCCATTAAATAAATGCTAAATATTATTAAACAAATTAATTTAATGTTACATATATATTAAATAAATATGAAAATATCAATCTGCCTATTTTATATATTCTTGATTAATTTATAGAATAATCCTTCAAAAAATCATGTGCAATATTTGGCGAGAATTTCATTACTAGAATAGATATTAAACTATCAGAAAAATACTATTTCAAAGCAAAGTTAAAAATAAAATAAAATTGTTCAAGATGCAAAATAGCACCAAGCACATCTCTTGCGTAGAACATCGTGAGATGAGAGACAGAAACTTTGGACATTTATTATTTATATTTATTATTTTATATGTACATATTTTTACAAGGAATACTTTCATATATACACTTAATAAAATATAAATCTTTGAACTTAATTTGTATTTTATTTATGGTTAAACATTGATTAATCGGTGATGTATTGGAATATTAATTTTGATCATGTATTTTTTTTTACTTTTTACTTTTATTCGTCGCGTATATTAAATATTAATCTATTAAAAATATAATCAACATTATATCTTACACACACAGGATCCTATATGTGAAAAACACAATCTATAGAAATCATTGTCTTAAATGGTCTAGCTGGAACTTAAGTGCTTGTATGATCTGTGTGAATTTATATACTATGTATGTAGTCCTTTAAAATGCGCGCTGAAATGATTTTAAAAATATAATAGTTCAAATTAATATAATTGATATGCACGTAAATAAAATTTTCAAAATAAAAATCTCGAGTTCGTTGTTCATAAATTGCAAAAAGTTGTAAAGTATAAAAATATATACATTTTACAGATTATGAGCCAGAATTATTCGAAAATTTTTGACCGAAGTCTTCGACAAGTTTGTAGATATATTTAATTCGTAACATTAATATGGCGTTTAATCAATGCATTACCAATGTAAATTTTAATCAATCAATCAAGATTTAAGATAAGGCAATGGACTCCTTAATTTCTTTACATAATTCCTTTCTATAGATTTTCGTGACATCCAAGTATCAGTACCTTTTTTCTTAAAAAAAGGATAAAGGAAACGAAAAATCCAGGAAAATATTGATATTGTATATAAATAATTGATTTGTTTATTACAAATTTAATATAAAACCAATATAAATCTAAGATGCGGATAAGATGCGATAAAATTTTTTAAACGTTCTTTTTTCTTTTGCTCACTTATGTGTTATTTAGCTACTCGTACATACAGTAAGCTTCTTTAACTGATATCTCAATACCGCGGTTTTCACCAGATTCTCATTAATCGATAATCCTAATTACACATGAATGAAAAAAAATTTTTATTATACATATTGACCTTATATTAAATGTATAGTCCACATAACGGGACTTTATTCGTTAGACTGGAAGCTCAATTTTCTCGTCGTTTGGTTGCTGTCCATTGCGTCCATCTTACAATCTTTCGGTCGATACACGAGATCAGCTCTCGTGGTACCGGTAGGCTGCGTCACGGTAAGCACCGCCCAACGGGGTTACGAGGGGTACGAGGGAGCCCCAATGTCGTGTCTGCGTCGCGGCGCACGCGTCTTGTAGTGAACGATCCGCGCGCATTCGGGGATTGCAAAGGGGCGGTTATCCCCCGGGGTGTTCGCAAAATTTTCGAAAATGCGCTATCCCATCAGAGGGTCCTCAGAAGAACGGAACACTTGAGCCCCGAAACGTTGCAGGACGTTATCCAAGTGTCGTCGTGTGCGGTAAACCCCTCTTTTTTTAAATTTTTTTTCATCCTCTGCGAGAGTGAGTGAATTAAGCACGCTGGTGGTATCCACTCGTCACTGGATAGGAAGCGGGATATGAGCTACACCGAACCGCTGTGGGAGATTAATGGAAATCAAACACCAGTGAGTCCAAGGACGAGTTCCGCACGACGCGATTTACAGTTTTGTCTTCGATATTAGTGATAAAAAATGAAGGGCAGAGAAGATGATGGCTAAATCGTGATAGTAGCACGTTTTTGCTGGCGACTTTAATTAAATTATAAATTAAAAAGTTTTCCTAAGATTTTTTAATTATCGCAGATTAAATAAAAGAAGCATTTTGACTTTGATTGCTCATAATTCCATAACAATCATCGTATCGCAATTAAAAAACAGATTCTTAAAGCTGAAATTTTGCTCTATCAAATAATATAATTGTCAATTTGTTTTTTAAATAGAATATATATAAATTTGAGCTAAAAAGTACGACATTACTTTCCTTCCAATCCAACATCTTATATAAATTATCGAAAATTCGTCGTTTGCTCTAACTGGAGCCAAGTAATTCGCACATATCTCCAAAAACTAAATAAAATACTGTATTAAATGACAGTCACAATTCGACAGTCAATTAACAGTTAATTGAGCCAATTGATTAATCTTTCCTACAATCTTTTTTGGTATAAACAAAATTTCATTCTCAAGTTTCATCTTCATTTTTGCTCGAATTTTTCTTAAATAAAGATTTTAACAATTAAGTTACAAAATTATTTGGTAATGTAATAGAGATGTTGAGATGTTGTAATAGACGAAAAATAATTGTAATTTAAACATAAATTTTTTGAAAGTCTAAAACAATAAAAGAGCTTTAGCTCAATGAAAAGATTGCAAATGGAAGGTTGATTATGTTAATCAAAGTTTGGTCAAAGTAGCTCATGTAAGGCCAGTATTTATAATCGGTTCTTATGTATTTAAGACTGTCTTAAGTACAGTCTTAAGACGTCTGATATAAGCCAATCATAGAGTCATGTTAGCATCTTAAGACATTACTTAAGACAACCTTAAAAATAAGAATCAACTATAAAATACGAATATATAAAATTAATACATTTATTAAAATATTTTTAAAAAATTATTCAAAATCAATATAATTCTATTAAACACGTTGTGTTCAAGATTCTCATGTGATTCGCGCTATCCGAACCAATTAACCGATTCCTTCAAACAAAATCTGTATTCGCGTAACAGGTAATCACGGAGATGTCGCAGTACGTTGGTGGTGAGATCGCCAGCTATCCAATGTGGGACAGTTCTGTTTTGTATCAGACACAGCCGCCTGCTCATCCGCACGTGAACGAGCACGGATTGTACAGACAACCCTGTGCGTTGTTGCACCAGAGGTAATTCATTCCATGAAGAATTGTCCACAAAGTAAAGTCAAAAGGTAATGGGACATCTGGAAGATTTATTAATTCTTATACAAGTTTTGTTATGGTTTTGTTATCATTCTCCTATAGTCTTTACGAACATCGATGCACTTAACATCCAATGTTTAACAAGCTTTCGAAATTAGTTCCGGAAAAAAAAATTTTAGTCTGGCGAAATCATTTTCTGCTTTACGTAGAAAAACGACCATAAACTTGTGCAAGAATTAATTAATTTCTTTTTTTTACTTTCCAAAAGTCCCTTTACTTTTTAACTTTTCTCTGCATATTCAAGTAGAATAATATAATTTCTATATACTAAATTGATAAACGCGCATGAAAAATCTTTAATAGTTAATACTAATTACCATACTGCCATGTGATAAAGTATATAAAATTTTTTAATTTTCAGTCGTTATACACCAAACGGCCGTTCACCGAACTTGCCGTCGTCAACGACGAAAAAACCGAGACGCCGAGAGGCAACGGTATCTCAGAGGAGAGCAGCCAATATCCGGGAGAGACGCAGGATGTTCAATCTGAATGAGGCCTTCGACAAACTCCGCAGGAAAGTATGTATTTTTATTTTAAAAATAAAATATTTAATAATTTAAACAATAATAAATTGATATTAATTTTTTTTATTTCAAAGAAAATTAATTATTTAAAGTAATTTTAACATAATATTCTCGAGACGGACGAATAGCTCGTAAATAAATTAATATATTAATTTAAATATAAAATTATATATCTTTTTGAGAGAGAAAGAAAAATATGTATGTATTATACATTTGCTTCAAACAAAATAAACTTATAACTTAAAAATCAATTAGAAAAATCCACAACAATTATTAAAATCTTAATGGTAGAATTATTCTGAAAAGATCATTTTTAAGGCGAATGATTCGCCTTAAAGATGATCTTTTGGAAGTCAAAAGGTTAAGAAATTATAATACAAAACCCGAGAATTTCTCTCTCGATTATCTTCAGAAACTTCTCATTTTTAAGTCTTTAATTACTTTTCATATTTAGGTACCAACGTTTGCCTACGAAAAACGGCTCTCGAGAATTGAAACACTGCGTTTGGCGATCACATACATCGCTTTCATGGGAGAGTTACTCGGTATCGAGCCAAGTAGTCCGAAAACGGAGTACATACCACGAGAATACTACTTGCCGAATTGAACTCTTCTCTTTTCCTACGATTAATAAGCGCTCATGCGTCGATATTCAATTGTGAACCGATATCGAAGGAAACCTTCTAGTCGGCGAGAATCCAGTCTTCCATTATTAATTAATATATTATAGTTAAGTCTCGAAGTGTAATTTAACGTCCGTATGTGACATTCATATTATACGATCTTCGACAATATTAGCCGATTTTTGTTTCAATCCATTAATTTTTTCGATACTATTACTTTTCGAGTTGTTCAGAAACTACTAGTACGAAAGAAATGTAAAATAAATAGTTACATTATATATAAAATCCTACAAATTTTTGAGCATCTCTCGAAACACTTGTTCTAGTATCGAAAGGATTAAATTTTCAGTCAATCAAACTTTTTTCTTATTACGCTGACAATAATCCTGCAACGCTTTATCATCTCGATTATAGTGAATCTCGTGCGATTGAAGGAAATGATTGCAATATTAAGGAATAAAATTAAACTTCCCTATCTTTTCGTAAATATGCGCTGTATATTTATAAGATGGCGTTGGAATGCAGCGAAAAAAAGAAACATTTTTCGACTTGAAGCTTCAATGTTGAGAAAATTAATCGACAAATAATCGGAATCTCGTACATATCGGAATTGTAAAATTAAGAAGTTATACTTTTTACGATATTAGTGAGAATATATTCATCGAGACCCGAAATTGCCTTTGTCGCAATACAACTCTTTTACATCATTGCAATTTCTGATTATAATAATATAATTGCTAAATATATATGTATACTATATGTCGCCGATTACCAAATTGGCGAAATGCGGGAATAAATAAATGTCAAAATAAGTTAAAATAAAAATTTAAGTAATATATTATATCTGGCATTTTGAATTTACTTTCGTATGGATTTTGAAAATGACTCGAAGTGTTTATCGGTTAAATTTTTATAAGCTATAATTTTTAACCCATACATTTTTATATGAAAAAAGATTATTATAATTTTTGTAAACTGCATTATAATATCCCAATTGACACCAAAATAACACACACACACACATTAATATATTATAATTTTATAAATTATTATATTATAATATTTCGCTCTCAACAATGCAACTGTTACTGAATACTATATGTTATATTACATTTATTATATATTGTTGAGGTTGAAATTATAACATTTAATATCATATATGTTACTCTTCGTTGTGTCGACTGGGATTGAATTCATCAATATATCACTATGTATATATTTTAAAGCATTTTTCAGACATTATATCTTTATACACCTAAAATATATACCATGATTTTGTGCACTTAAAAATACGTTTAAAAATGCATGAACAGATTCACTTAGCACATATGTATATTATTTAATTAATTAATTTTCCGAATTAAATTAAATCATATACATTTGTATATTGTGAATCGCGAGTATTCAATTGTTCAACTTTCCATCCCTTGTATGAGTAATAAAGTCTACTCTAATGGCAATACGCGACTGAAGGGAACGAGCCATGTACGTACAAAGAGGAACTCTGCACGTACATCGCTCGATAGTGGTTCGTCGTATTATCGGTGGAACCTACACGTTATCAGGAACCGTTCTGAAGGAACCTGCGCGAGATAAACCACTCGGTTTACTTGGCGTCGGTATCTGGCAAGTATATCCCTTCTTATCGACCCTGCGTTGACAGAACGGTATAATCTCGCGAGATCAAAAGACCGACGATACTACAGAACGTGGTCGCGCTATAAGGGGATAAGGGGTTGACCGAGAGGAACCGGTGGCCACCCAAGAAGACGGTCTCCTTTCTCTCTGTGCCGAGCCGGCCGTTTAACAGGACCCCCTTTAATCTTTTCTTTTTTTCCTCATTCGATTTTTTTTTTCTTTTTCCTTGTTCTCTTAAGGTTGCCGCTGAGAGATCGCTCGTTTACGAGAGAGGGAGAGGAGACAGAATGGAGACGTTCTCCGTGCTCGAACGATGCAAGTGAGCTTGTTAGGCTGACGTCTCAATTTTAACGCTCTCGATTGGGAGTCGAGAAGTCGCGGGGATTCGAAGGCGAAGAGAGATACGGTGAGAGAAAGAGAAAGAGAAAAAGATACTGAGGGTGGGCCCCGCATGCGTGGCGGCGTTCGCATAAGCGCCAGAAAGGGCCACACGCATTCACCTTTCACGTATGTATATGAGCGAATACGTACGTGTATTTACACAAGTATACGTACATGTACATGGCGAAAGTACGCATTCTAGATGCCGCGTTCGGAATAAAGACAAGTCCCGAGAAGACAAGAAGATAAAGTACACGCAGGGGAGAACGGGGAGCGGTGAAATAACGCGGGCTAAAAGGGCTCTCTCTGTCGGATCGTGGAAGGAACAGGGGGGGGAACAGGGTGGAGAAGATGGGTGCACCCAGAGGGGGCGGAAGGGAGAAAGACAACGGCGGGCGGCGTCGGGGGTGAAACCCGCGGGGAAAAGAAGAAACGCGAAGATGGGAGCCTTGGCTCATAATAGGTGGAGAGGCCGGCGCCTCTCGTAGCATCACCACGTGGCATGCGGCCAACTACTGTCTCCTGATCAATATGCTTACGGCTACCTCGCCTCTCTTTCTATCCCTTTCCTCTCGTACCGTCTCCCTTTTGCGTCTCTCCGTCGTGAGAGAGCAGTGGATCAGGCGTTTCGATACGATGCGTTATCCGGCGACATCGAGGTATCTGGCGTGTCGAAGGTAACCGAGGAACCGTATCGCCGTCTTTCTTCCACGGGATCACTGCGATCCTGATGTGCAATCGAGGGATCGACTTCCTACGCGACATATCTAATCAGTATATCAGATAAAAGAGATGTAGCAGATAAAAGAAAAGCCACTCTTTTTCAAGACTGGTTCAATTTTTACTCTTTAGAGTGAGGTTCCATTCCAAAGAATCGAGAGAGCAAGAATACATTTTTATCTATCGAATCTAGTTTTATAAGCAAGATTATCAATGCAGGTTTTTCAAAACAAAAATTGGGAAACTTCTTTTCAATTTAAAAAGAAGTTTTCCAATTTTTGTTTTGAAAAACCTGCATTGATAATCTTGCTTATAAAACTAGATTCGATAGATAAAAATGTATTCTTGCTCTCTCGATTCTTTGGAGTGAAACCTCACTCTAAAGAGTGAAAATTGAACCAATCTTGAAAAAGAATGACTAAATTTTCAATCTTCGAGAGTTAGATTTTATTCTTCAGAGTGACAATTTATTCTAAAAGTTTTAGGAAGTGTGGTACTAGTTTCGTATCACAATTAATTGAAAAAATATTACTATATCTTTCGGTTAAAATGTTCAAAACGTTCCGCATTCGTTGTAATGGAGACATAATTATTTTAAATGTTAATGAAGTATTGGTGAACATCATTAGAGTCACAACGAATAGATATATTTTTTTGTGAAAGAACGACTGAAACTATCGAAATGTCTGGCATTGCGAAGAAAATACTATATGTGTATGTGGTAACTGCGAATAAATCTGAAGATCGTTTTTCAAGTGGAGCAAATAGTCCTATTTTTCTCCATTCTCAAGAGGCAATTATAATCGGCGACGTTATAAATATGTGCGAGCGTATCGTTTTTTGCGAACAAAAGTAAAGATCTATGGTGATCTTCGCTCCCGGGGATTCCGAGATAAATGTCTCGCGTGACCATCGCGTGGGTGGGACAAATTGGTCATCCGTTTCCACTCGGGTGTTATCTTATCATTGACGAAGTTTCTCCCCGTGATATATCGTTGGCGCCTAACAGGTGGTCCTCGTTCGCGCCGACCGGCGGCTTCACTCACGATCGGTCGACGTTGCTAATGACGCCGAGATCATTGCGATGCTGCGCGAATCGTTTGTGGTACCATGCGTCAGTCACGTGGTGGTGACCGCTCCGAGTGATCTCTTCGTGATCTCTCTCTTTTCTCTCTCTCTCTCTCTCTCTCTCTCTCTCTCTTTCTCTTATTCTCTTCCCCCTACCTCCCTCCTCCATCTCTCTTTCTCTCTCTCTTTTTTTTATATTAAGGCTGAAGAATAAACCTTTACATATCGCATAATGCATAAAGTATGACAAAATCAACTCTGATCAGAATCTTTTATTTCATGGAAACGAAGGAAATAAAGGACTTTGATTGGTCCATTTTCTCATGCATTATGCGTTATGCAAGACTGTGCTCCCGTCTTTATCCTTTTAAAAGCCGATAAAAATGTGAATGGCAGACATACTACGCTATTATACCAAACACAACGGCGTTCTCTCTTTCTTTTTCTTCGCGGTTTGCCTTCCACTTCTTAAATCATCCGACCCTGAAGGAATCGCGCCCGCGCACTATCATCATCAAGGGCCGAGCCTACACACTCATACGTTTACATGCGCGGCGCGCACGGGATCTTTAAATATCCCAGCGGCGGATTACGAAGACCTATCGTTTATAAGGGACCACCTATATAAAGTTACCGAGAAGTTTAGTCGGCCGTTGTAGTACCTATATCGTGGTGGGTGGGTGAACAGTATCTCGTTGGTCGCGCTCGACACCGCCGAGTAGTGGGTGGTTGATAGTGGTGGTGTTGGTGGTAGTGGTGGTGGCGATGGTAGGTAGTGGTGGTGGTGATGGTGGTGGTGCTGGTGCTGCTGCTGGCTGCTGCTACTGCTGCTGCTGTTCCTGATGCCGGCTCACAGCCGCTGGTAATGGTACGGCGGTGGTGGTGCCGGTATCGGTAGTGGTGGTAGTGGTGGTAGTTGCCCCTCAGTGTCCGGCGCGCCTCCGACAAGCGTGCTTCGGTCGTTACGAGAGGATCTTATGAACGCGCTCCCGGCGTTCATCGCGGATGACATCGGCTGACTTTCTGCCGGCGTCGCAAAACAGAGAGACGGTCAAAGAGACGGACCAGGATAATAACGGCAAGTCGGCAAAGTGGGAAGAGTTGCAGGTGGAGGAAGAGGAGGAAGAGGAAGAGAAGAACACGTCGAGGAAGCCGGAGTCGGGACGGGATTACGATC